TCAATTGATGGCATTCAGAAAGTTTAAATCCCTGATGATCTTCTCATAAATCATTTTGATGATCCAATATCTACAATTGTTGAAAACATATCTTCTGATTTCTTTAGTCATTGCAGTGAAATAAATTGCCTTCAACATAAAGAATTCTAGCACTTACTCTTGACATGGTGGAGCCCATCAATGAATATATGGTTTCACTCAATAATAGTCTTGAGACATCATATTTCAGTTCTGATTCGGTTTGTATATCTGATCATGCTTTTTGATCATTAGAACATGTACATACACTAGAATTTTTAAATAGTATTAAATGTTCTAGAGTTTCAAATCACGCTATCACTTTGAAGGTTGGTGTTTCTGTGATGTTATTGAGAAATATAGATCAATTATCAGGATTATGTAATGGGACAAGGCTAATCATCTCAAACTTGGGAATCGGGTTATTAAAGCTAAGGCTTTATCAGGAAATTTGGTTGGAGAAAAATTTTTAATTCCAAGAATGACATTGACTCCATCTGATGCAAGAATACCTTTTAAATTTCAGCGACGATAATTTCCTATCACATTATCTTTTGCCATAACTATTAATAAATGTCAAGGCCAATGATTATCTCATGTCGGGTTGTTTTTGAAGAGACCAGTGTTTACACATGGACAACTTTATGTTGCTCCTTCAAGGGTGACAATTAAAAATGAATTGAAAGTTTTAATTTATGATGATGAGGACAAATTACAAATGAAGCTATAAATGTAGTATGTAAAAAAGTTTTTTCGTAATCTAATTTAAACAAGTATTTTAATTTGTAGTTTTCAACTAAATAAAATTATTTATCATTTTTTTAATGGTGTTAATTTTGAATTATGTTATAGAGATTATTTCATGCTTTAATATCATTTATAACGTCAGAATTCATGGTTTTGCAAAGGGAATTGGGTTTTCTTGAAGGAGAGAGTGGTGTTTCTTCTAGGGATATTGCTTACAGGATCATTGTTGAGGCAACTGATCATTCAAGGTGAGTAATTTGTGTGCGTGACCATATGCAAGTTGGCATATGACTTTGCCTAAACTAGTCATTGGCTAAGATTCTTTGTGAGCAAATTTATGCTCTAAAACTCTTGAATTTGCATGTGTTTATAGGCAGCTATAACTGCTAAGTTTTCCGTGAGCTGTTATTTTTACCGAATGGTTAATCATCATGTAGAAAATTGTTGTATATTTACTTTCTATGAATTGTTACTATTGATTTTATAGGAAAGTAACCTGGTTTGCCTCATTGTGGTTCTTGCCATATTTTAAACCTTTTTTTTCAACATAATGTAGATGATTTTGCTGTAACAATTTATATATTTGGTTGTAGTATGTGTTTGTATATATTTCTAATATCTTGGATCTTAAGTATTATTGTTTGATATAGATTATACTATGCATGACTTTTGCTATTTCATACCTAAGGCTTCGCAGGATACTTTAGTAGGTACATCTTAGTATTGCAACTTTTTCAACGTCTCTTAATGAGACACAATTTTGTAATGCATTTCACGATCATTTTATTATATAATTTTATTATTTTCAAATAAAGTTATAAAAGATTATTTCATCGTTTAATAGATCATTTATTATATTAATTTTATTATTTTCAATAATAACAGTGTATAAACAAGATTATTTCCATCGTTATAATATGTAATGCATTTCACGATCATTTTATTATATAATTTTATTATTTTCAAATAAAGTTATAAAAGATTATTTCATCGTTTAATATTGATCTGCGCATCGCTCGGGTTTTGACTAGTGTATTTTAATATGTTGAAATTGATTTTAAAATATGTTGAAGAGGTAAAAGGAAAGGAGTTGAATCCTTCCATTTTTAACTTTGTCATTGCAATTCTTTAAATAAAGGGATTCATCAAATCCACAAGGAAAAGGAATGGAGTTGGTCTAAGGAAGAGACTATTATGGCTTTTGGGAATCATGCATGATTATTTTTTGAGAAAAAGATCATATGACAATGATTTCTATATTAATAAAATGGCTCTAGATTCTTCATATATTGCACATAGTTCGAAGCTCATCTCGCTCACCTTGGAGAGAAGAGTTGTGCCACGATATTTGGTTTTACAAAATTTGGTGTCAAAACGTATAATCAGGAAAAATATTTAGCAATCGATTTTACAGGTTTGTAGTAGTTAGAAAATCGAGTAATCGTAGAAATTCTCAAACCCCCACACATTTAAATCCTAACTTCACCAATCTTCCATAAAATTAAAATTTACCAAGGAAAATCATTCAAAGGGCAATAAAGAGTCGATTTTTGCTCATCTTTCAAACATATGCTCACCGGAAAAGCTCATTTGCCTGATTCCAGGGCTGCCATAATCACAACTTAAGAAAAAAATCCATATTTTTTCAGATCAAATCCTAACCGTCCATTTTTATAACTAGAGATATTTTAGGATATTGATAATTTTAGTGCCTAAACTCTTTAATTTCTTCTATTTGAGTGCCTGAACATAAAACATTTTCAATCTGGTGCCTAAACATTTTAAAAAATGCAATCAACTGCTTTTAGCTGACCCCTCTTACCGAATTGCTGACTTCACAGATGTGGGCCCACTTTTGATGACGTATAATAAAATACAATGACGGCTCGAATCCATGTGGAATGGACTATAAAATCTTAAAAATGCCTTTAAGTTCCCATTGCTTACCCTCAAAATCATTTATGGCAAAATTGCCTTTGTCTTTGCAAACTACCAACGTAGAAGACGACCGATACAATCTGAGAAATTGAGGAACAATAACATATCCTACCAACTTAGGAGAAAAAAAATAGAAAGTATTGAAAAATCTACAACTCATAATAGTATAGACGGATTATTCACAAAGAAAGAAGGAGAAATTCATTTGTTCTAGATCCCTACATTATCAAACTTCTTATTGGAAGGGTTTGATTTCACTGGAAACTGAAGAAAACGAGCTGCCGTAGGTGACAGTGGCATCGCAAAGGAGATATGAGGAATGGCTGAAGTGGAGGTCGCCACTGCTCAGAGCGTCAATCGCTGTCCCAATCTCGTCGATTGGTGTTAAAGTTAAAGTTGTTATGGGAAGAGGATCACAGTCTGTGATTGGAGAGAGAGGGGGGTAAGCGAGAGATGAGCTTTTCCTTCTTCCTTTTTTTTTTTATTTTTTTATTTCCTTTCATTTTCTTTTTATTCTTTTCTTCATTGTCTGAAAATCGAACCAACTGGCCGGTTTGACGATAATCAGACTGTGGTCTAGTTCGGATTGCACAAAAAATTGAATGTCTAAAAAATCGATATGAACCAGTAGAATCGGATGAAAATCGGCTAAAAATTGGTGAATCGAACCGATTAAAAATCCGATTCGATTTGATTTTTGGTTTTTCCATAAAATGTGGTTTTTTTTTTAAATTTGGGCCTCTTAAAATTTAGGCCCACTGATTTGTAAATTTTTGGGCCTCTTAATTTCTCAACCCAAAGTCTTATTATGTTAATTAAAATAATTAAATTGCCAAACTTTAACCATTTATGAAAAACAATAATATATTTTATGGTAATTAATTAATTTTTTTAGTATTATATTTATTCATATATTGTTATTTTTATTTCAAATTATTTATTAAGTTTTTATTCTTTTTGTAAACGCTAAATTTGAAATTGTTTTTTTATTTGAAATCAAAGTTTTTTTTTGTAACCTATGTTCTCAATTTTATTTTAAAAAAAATCCGGTTGAATCGCATTGAACTCGGTTAAACATTCTGGTTCAGTGAACGCCTTATCTTTGCCGATTTACTGAGCAGTCTAATTCTTAGAATTACTGTTTTTCTTTTTTTTTTTCTTTCTTTCCCTTTTATTTCCCTTTTCTTTATTTATTTTCCTTAAATTTTCTTTCAATTTTCTTTTGTTTTATTTATTTTAACTTTATTTCTTTTTCGTTTAATCTCCTTTATGTATTTATTTTTAATTAAAAAATAAAACCAATAATTTCTTATAAATCTATATTTTTGACAAATAATTATTTGATAAATAATGGTGGTTTGCAAAGACAAGGTGAATAATGAAATTTTAAGGGCATTTTTGAGATTTCACAATTGATTCCACGTGGATTTGAGTGGTCTTTATCTATTATTACACGCATGGATAGCGGGCCCACATATGCGAAGTCGGCAATCGAGTGATAGGAGTCCGCCAAAAGCACTTGATTGCATTTTTTAAAACGTTCAAGCACCCAATTGAAAATATTTTCCAGTCATACATTCAAATAGAAAAAGTTAAAAAATTTAGACACTAAAATTATTAATATCTTGGATATTTTTGACATACATTTTTAGACTATCATAATATGTAATGACTTGTTCTTTGAAAGAACAAAAAATAGACGAAATGATATATACGGCGTATCAGATTGAAAATATAAAAATATGATAATGTATTTAAAAAAATATAAAGATAAAGTAGTTATTCTTGATAAAATATAAAGGTACAGTTATAATTTTCTGTAATTTTTATTGTTATTCGTGCATAGTACGAGAGTTTAGAGATCAATTATCTTTTGAAATTTATATATTGTAAATTAAAAATTTTTAAATAATAATTATTCAAACAACATATAAATATTCCACGATAATTATTCAAACAACTCAAATAACATATAAATATTTCGGGCGTTGAACGCGATTGACGAGTAATAATAATAATAATAATAATAATAATAATAATAATGTCATCACCGGCCGGTCCATGGAGCAAACCTAACAGCTTTTTTTTTTTTTTTTTTTTTTTCCTAACAGCTTTTTTTTTTTTTTTTTTTTTCTTCTCCTTCGGAGATAAAACAGCAGGCAAGAGCAACACTTCTCGTCATTCGAAATCAGTTAACAGCTCTTGGATTCTGAATTGCTTTTGGTTATCTATTATTTGCTATCATGGCCTCTAAATGGTGCTTCAAACGGTCAGTGTCTCGCTTTTCTGAATTTTTTTTTTTTTTTTTTTTTTTTTCTCCTTCGGAGATAAACACAGCAAGAGCACACTTCTCGTCTCGAAATCAGTTAACAGCTCTTGGATTCTGAATTGTTTTGGTTATCTATTATTGTATCATGGCCTCTAATGGTGCTTCAACGGTCAGTGTCTCTCTTTCTGAACACGTAGAAAGCAATATTAGCTTCTGGCTTTTTTCTTGATAAATGATCTACATTGTTTAAGCAAACTAATTGCAACAGCAGAGAGCAGTGGACGCAGAGAACAGTTTGGAGAGGATCAAGCGGCAGTTGGCTTCTGGTTCTGGTAGGAACTTGTTGCAGGGTCCACTTCTCAAGCGATCTGAAACTGTATCATTCTTCCCTTTTCCTTTTTCCTTTATGGTTTTTGTTTCTTTATTTTTCATATCAAATTTTAGTATTTGTTCATTTGAATTGATTGCAATCTATACTAGTATATGGCTGCTTCATTATATTTGAGAAATTTTGTGGTAAGCGTTGAACTATAGTGAAAGCGAAAAAACCCTAGATTTAGCCGATTTCATATAGTTGGTAAAATTTCAAGATTGCATGAGGCATTTCTATTTTCTTTTTTCCCTGTTATTTCTCCTCACAATTTGCTTTCATTTTGCCATAATAGCTGCGAAAATGGAACGAGCGATGGGTGATCTTGGACCCAACAACTGGAAAAATGGAATACAAGTGGGTATATGTCCCACATATTCTTTTCCTGGCTTCTCTTTCTCTTTAGGAGCTCATTAATACCTGCATTTCCTTTTTCTCTGCCTGCTTTAGGACGAGGAGAAATGAGCCGACTGTGAAAGGAACTATCGTCTTTGATGCAAATAGCACAATAACAGTTTCTCCTGTGAACTTCCAGTAAGAGTTTTTTTCCTTTATAGACCTTCTTAGTTCCGTTCTTAGTTTTTTCTTTTTTAATTTCTGATTAATTAGCAACGATGTTCTTTGTCTTTATGTGCTTCAGTGGACTTCCAAAGTACGATGGGTGCTGCTTCTGTATCCATATCAGTCTGTCTATTCCCTTTAACAAAGATAAACAAACTTTTATTTTTCAGTCGATCTATTTTCTTTTACAAACATAAACAAACTTGCATTTTTCCCCATTGCTCAGTTGAAACCCATAATTGTTTTTGTTAAATTGGATAGCTACAATGGATTCTTAACTTTCTTATAGATATTGGTACTCCACAGAAAAAAGACTACTTCCTATGTGCAGAGACTCCCGGTGCAGCTAGAGCATGGGTAGCAACTTTGCAGTAAGTTTTCCTTTTGCCATAATGCTGTCTAATGGGCTGAAGGATGTTCTTTTGATATTTCTTTTTGGTATCTCATTTGGTATTTTTAATTTATAAATTTGTTGCTCATCCTAGATGTTTGAGACTATGTCACCTAAAAGCTGAGAATGCAATACTAAGAAAGCATTATGTCCAATCAAGGATAGAAATTGCTGGTTGTAAGGGTTTTTGGTTTTCTTTTTCCTTCTCTCTTGAATTTTGAAAATGATCTGCAATGAAAACTAAATTTCATGAGACTTGAATTGGTTGGGGTTTAGATGGTTTACTTGGTGTAGAGCATGGACTTGTGAGAACTTTTGCAAAATTATATCATCTTCGAAGCATCTTGGGAAGCACTTTTATTGTACTGGTCTCCAAATTATGTGCTTTTTGCATGATGTTTTGTGACTTTTAACTTGGGGTTATGTTTCTCTTAATAATAGTAATATTTTTATTTTTATCTTTTTAAATTGTAATTCATATAATACAGATTACCATTTTCATAATTTGTTAAGTATTTTTTGACAATAAAAATTCTGATAAATAATATAATAACATTTGGAAGAAAAAACAAAGTATTATTCATATAATAGAGATTATTATTTTCATAGTTTATTAAGTGATATTTTGACAAAATAAATTCCGATGCAAGTATATAATAAGATTTGGATAGTAGTTGGAGGAAAAAAAAAAAAAAAAAAAAGTAGTTTGGAGGAAAAAAAAAAAAAAAAAAAAAACGAAGTCTACCATTCTGGTTATAAAATGGTTGGTTTAACAAAAAAAAAAAAAAAAAAACGAAGTCTACCATTCTGGTTATAAAATGGTTGTTTTAACTGCTTTAGCCCCTCATAACACCATGCTTAGATTATCCATACTCTTGCTCTCTCTCTCTCTCTCTCTCTCTCTCTCTTGTTGCTTCTTATCATTTGTTCATTAGTTGAGGAATAGGTTATTTTTCTCCAAGTCATTTGTTCTATTTTTCCTGCCCTTGATTTTTTTTTTTTTTCATTAGAAGATTTGATTTATCATCCTCCATTTGTGTTTTAGTCACAATAAATTCGACCATGTTGAGAATATCATGCTCTATTTGCGCTATTTTAATCTGTTCAGAACGAGGGGAATGTCGGTGCATATAAGATGGTCGCATACAAATAACAATCTATGTTTCAGCCTAAATTGAGTGATTGGTATATGAAAGATAAGAAAGAGAGGCCATAGAGAGCAGGTTGGAAAGTATAGAGAGAAACAGAGAAGAGAAAGGAAACATCTTTAGTAGTGACTTCAGAAAAATTCTGTTATTAATATTCAATGCCAATTACAACTTATTGTTTCCTTTTACTCTCGAACTCTGACTTCTACTAATGACAGTCCTTACTCTACTAACAAGTCAGAAAATGACATTGGTAATCCTGAGATGGCAAGGACCAAGGATATCGTATTGGAATCTATCTCTCTCTCTCTTTTTTCTTTCTCTATTTAGTTAATGTCAATGGGTAATTTAGGTTAATGGATAGATCTTGTACTTTATGAGAAGTCATTTGCGCGTTGCTGGGATTCTATGATTTTTTTTTTTGTTCGCCTTGCACTGATGTTATGATTGATACCTTTCCTTCTTTGTTTCCTTAAACTTTTTGGCTGCAGTGCAACTCAGTTGGTTCTAAAAGCCCATAAAGAGGCTGTGAATTCCTTAAGTGGGAATGGTTCTGCAAAATTGGGTACAATTGCAACTGTAGTTGCTGCTGCCAATTCAACAGCTCTCGAATGCTCTAAAGAAATTGAAGCTGCAATGCAGATTTCTTTAAGAAATGCTTTGGGAATGGTGAATAATAGAATAACTGATGGTCCAATGGATGATCTGGCAATCATGAAGGTATAACCTTTTAATTACTTATTCTCTATGATATATCCTTTACCCAGTTTAGACAAACATATCCAATTTCTACTTGCTATAGTAAAGCACATTCAATAATCTTATATAGGTCGGAGCGAGATCAGATTATTTTTTGATTAGAAGTATGTTCCTTGCATGTGATCTTTTAACACCTTTTTAACTCTTAGAATATATATTATTTATGCCTTTTTAACTATTAGAATATATATTATAGACATCCACATTATCTCTGTAAGCTTTAGATGATGCTATGGTAGATTACTTGCTTAAAGTAAAATGAGTCGGTAAACATACAACTTTTTTAATTGATGATCTTTTGGTCAATTAAACAATAGAAGTATATTCTAAATCTTTAATTTCTTAAAATTCATAAAAAAAGGAGAATCAAATCAAATTCATAGAATTTGGGAGTTAGTTCTAAACATCGTAAACATACTATATACTTTAAATGAATTCCATGTTTTAATATTTAAGATATCAAGCAGGAAAATTCACTGAAAAAAGAATTCTGTTAGTTCTATCATGAATTGATTGGCAAATATAATGATCCCATGCTCATTTAGAACAAAACGCAGTATCTGGCAGAGATGTCCAGACGACAATTGCAAGCTATTGCCCTCCATGCTTAACCACCCTTTTCACGAAGTAACATATTTTGGGTGTGGAGGTTAATGATCTTCCATTCCCTTTCCATCTAAAACTTCCCAATGATGTTCAGTCTTTTCCCCTCTATCTATTAAGGTTTCTTTTCTTTAAATGCTTAGAAGTTAAGTTATACTAAACAGGATGTAAGTTTTTCATTTTCTTTTATTTTCTTGGCCTATTTAACTTAATTATCATTTCTTTTCTTGCTAATTTGGTTTTCTTATCTCTTTTTCCCCTTTTGTTCTGTGGGATGCAAGCTCTAAGCATTGATACATTTTCTTTTCCCTCTTTCTTTTTGGTTTCTCTTCTTTCTCCCTTCCAATTCTTTTTTACTTGTTGAAAGATAGATAAAACATTTGGATATTTGGTTTGGTTGGTTGTCTTACCTTCCATACTGTGTATAAGATATGATCAATTTTAGTAAAGGGCTAAGATTTGAGTATTCATGCTATTCTTGGTTCACTACATCAAGAAAAACCTGAACCTAAATGGTGTTACTAAGCATATGCTGCCATCCTGTGGCTAAAGGTGCCAATGGAAAATTAATTCAGCTTCATTTTGCTTGCCTTTCGTTATGTAATTATACTTGCAGGAGACACTAAAAGTTAAGGATGATGAACTGAAGAATTTGGCTCGGGACCTTCGTGCTCGTGATTCAACAATAAGGGACATAGCAGAGAAACTATCAGAGACTGCTGAAGCTGCTGAGGCTGCAGCATCTGCAGCGCATACAATGGACGAACAAAGGAGACTTGCTTGTGCTGAAATAGAACGGTTGTCAAAAGCTTCACAGAAGCAGCTGGAGTCATCCATGTTGAAGGTAACAATAATTTGTCATCCTTTCTCAACGGTTCAAAGCATAAAAATGTGTTGAGATTTGAGAATTTTCTTAGACAGTTGTGTGATGTTTTTGGAGGGAAATATTTGTATTCAGATTTGTCTTCTATGTGCTTAAGTTAGTAAGCTAAGTGGGATTAGGTCATAGTTACCTGGAACACAATATGTTCAGGATTGTGGTATGGGTATGGGAACATGGTCCACTACTAGTTTAGAATCTTGTTCAGTTTTGTTTTTGGGGGGGTAGGGTCAGTAGGTTCACCTGGTTCGCTAATTAGGATTCTGGTACACGTTACAGTATTATTTTGATCAGTTAGTATTTTTTTTTTCCTAAAAGATAAAATGATAAATGATGTAATTGTTTTCTTAAATCTTAACCATTTAATCAACTTTTAAAATAATATTTATTTTAACGAACACATGTTAGATTTAAAATAATAATATTTTCCTTCAACAATTAAAAAATTATTACTGTACCAAAAGAATTGCTATACTTTTCAATTTATTCTTGTTTTTTGGGAAATAATATTCGGAATAGAAAGAGTCCTCCAGTCTAGGTACTCTTAACTTCACATGATGAGTTAAATAATAATTATTATTATAATAATGAATACTAACAATAAATATCTATTCTCATTCCCCATTTACCCAAATCTCGTAGTCTCATTCTTCAATTGTTGATAGGTTTTAGTTCCTCTCCTCCTCCTCCTCCTCCTCCTCCTTCTGCAATTTCTACTGCTCTGCTTCGTGATATAAAGACTCAAAAAATACTGAGCCTCAATCTTCAGTTGTTTTTTGGTTTCAGTTCCTTCTTCTTCTGCAATTTCTATTGTGCAGTTATCTTCCAAAGATCCAAAACTAAATAATCTAATACTATTTCTTCCTTATTAGAGTGTTACTTGCAAGTACCTGTGAATCAATGTGAAACACTGTAGCAGAAATGAGGTTGCTGATGTTGGAGATGAAGATTGCATACCACTGGGATCCAAAGCTCCAAAGCACTTTAATCTCTAACACTCGACCCAATTCATGGTAACTATGGTTTTAGGGAGAAAGAATGTCTTTGCTTGTAAGTCTCAACTAACAAAAGTTAAAGTATGAGTCAGATTCTAGGTTATTGATCTCATTCAGTTTCCCCCCAAAAAATGGCTAACAAACCTCATTTTGGTCCTAAAGAAAAAAAAAAAAAAAAACTGATGTTGGAGATGAAGATTTGCATTACCACTGGGGATCCAAAAGCTCCAAAGGCACTTTAAATCTCTAACACTCGACCCAATCAGGTAACTATGGTTTTAGGGAGAAAAAAAAAAAAAAAAAAAAAAAAAAAAAAAAAAAAAAAAAAATGAATGTTCTGTTGCTTGTAAGTCCAACTAACAAAAGTTAAAGTTATGGTCAGAATTCTAGGTTATTGAATCTTCCATTCAGTGTTCCCCCCAAAAAAATGGCTAACAAACCTTTCATTTTTGGTCCTAAAAGAAAAAAAAAAAAAAAAAAGGAAAGAAGAAAGAAAAAAAAAAAAAAAAAAAAAGGAAAGAAAGAAAGAAAGAAAAAAAAAAATGGAAATTTTCAATCCATACTGGCCAAATCCTACTCCCGAAATTAGACCGGAATAGTTGTTTAACCTTGAATTAATCATTCTGATTTGAGATACAAAAATATTTTTAATCCTAATTATTTTTTTTTTTGTGGTTCACCAAATTTTTGGCAGAGAATCGCGTGTACCTGACTGTCTGATTCAGTGAAGTCACACAACCTAGGGATGTGTGAGACTGCCAAAAATTTGAACCACATGGCCCTAGCTGTGCGATTAGTTATAAGAACACTAGGATGTAAAAGAAAATCTATTGACTTATTAAACTAGACCATTTGAGCTATATATATTCTAATTTGCTTTGGTTGGATTGTTTTAAACCAAGTCATGGCCTAAGGTGCAGCCAGGAATCTCACTTTAAATATTCACGGGGCATTAGATTATTTTATTCTATTAATGAGTAAAAACTATTGAAGCATGACTTTATAGTATTATATGACATTTTGATTTAGTTTTCACTTGAAGCAAACAGTTTCAATATTATATGTTTAGCTTTGCTCGAAAATTTTTTCTTATTTCTTTAAAAACCTTTATATTATTGTTATATCTTTTTTTATTTTTATTTTTATTTTTATTTTTATTTTGGGGTCTAAATCCTTAGATCATGTGGACTAGTTTTGAGTCTTTTTCTTTTGGCTTAAGAGTTGTTTGAAAATACTTCTCATAAAGGAAAAGTAGTAGTTGAAATTTATACATGTCAAGGACTGAAGCGCTTTGCCCTTTCAATTCAGTTTTGTTCTTCAATAAAGAAAACCAGTTTTTACTCTTTACTTCGAGTTGTGTGATGCAATTCAAGTTTCAACCATATGTGTTATGCCTAAGACGGAAGTCTATCTTTCTATTTACAGTTCAAATATGCACGTTGCTATTCACATGCACTATTCATTAATTACTACTCATGTCACTATTTGTGGATACTGTTCACATTACTGTTCATAACGCCACATCAACCTCACCGCTTCCTTTCTGTTTCTGTTTATTCAATCAATTTCCTTAGAAGCCCTGGCCATTAAATTTAAATATCCTGCCATTCTAGCCGCTAGATAAACCTTATGGCGATCCTTTATGGCCTTCAACTTGACCCTTAGCCCAAGGGTTATTTTTGGTTATTTATTCTTTTATATTAAAAAATATCAATATTCTATCATTCATTTTGCATACTTTTTATTTTATAACATAAAATCTTTACTTATCTAACATCTAAAATGAATTAGCAAATGAATAAAATTAATTAGTGAATTGTGTTTCGCGCATATACTTATACCTTTAAAAAAATAATTAATTCATGAGAAATTGCTTGTTTCTTAAACTTAATTAATGAATATGCTGGAAAATCAAAATTTGTAAAAGATTAAATTTAAATTAATTATTATAAATTTTAATATTTAATATATATAATAATTTTTAATTATTTAAATATATAATATAAATTATTATATAATATAATAATAAATATATAATTAATATAATAATTAATATATAATATAATATTTAATTTAATAAAATAAATATAAAATAAGGAAACCAAGATAAGGGAAACAAGGAGTTTTTATGTCACATTACCGAGGGCCCCGTTTCAAAAAATTTTTCTTCTTTAGTTTTGCCCCTCAATCCCATCTTTTTTTGAACCCTAATGGCTCTCTTAACTCTAGCTTTCAAATTAACCCAAAATTCAGCAATGTTCACCTTCAACCCGTCCTGTGTTAGTTTGGTATTAGATCTTAAAGATTGTTGTAAGTTTTGTTCTCTAATCTTTTTCAATATGGTTCTAAAGGCTGAAATAAATTCAAAAATTAATTCTTTCCGATGAAAGTTCAATTATTTTTGTCAAGATAATAAATATACGAAAGGAAGGATTGAATTTATCAGAAGCTAAGGTGGATGAGTTGCTTAAGGGATTGCCTTCTATCAGCCCTTACAAACAAACTGAAGCAGATATTAAGTTTAATGAAGGAAAACTTAGGGCCTGATGAATCTATTTGAATAAATAAGCTGCTGGTTAGAGTTTTAAAATTATGGGCAACTTTTTGATTCTAGCTTTGCTAGAAAATATTTCCTTATTATTTTGGAGTCTTTATATTTATGTTAAACCTTATCTTCGAGACCTAGTCGGGTTGAGATAATATTATTCCTTTTCAGTTTATCTGGAGTCCAAATTCTAAGAGGGTGTGTACTGACTTTGAAGTTCTTTTCTTAAAAGACTAGGTCACCAGGAGTTGTTTTAAAATTATTTTCAAAAAAAAAAAAAAAAAAAAAAAAAAAAAAAAAAAAAAAAAAATAAAAGGAAAAAGAAGAGCTGTTTTAAATCTTCTTTAAAAAAAAAAAAAAAAAAAAAAAAAAAAAAAAGAAAAAGAAGAGCTGTTTTAAATCTTTTTTCATAAAAGGTTAGTATTAAATTGAAGTCTACAAATACCTAGGACTATAATGATTTCAATTAGGTTTTGTTATTCAATAAAAAAAAAGAAAAACTAGCTTTTAAGCTACTTCAAGTTGTGATCAGCTTGTGGAATCTTGAGTGTGATATCTAAGGACGTTTAAGGGTGAAGCATAAACACTAATTTTTCTGTTTACCATACATGTGTTGACACATTACTATACACAATAAACTGTTTCATTTACTATTCATGTCACTTTGAATAGGTATTTAAGCTCTTCAAATTCCAGCAATTTTTTTTATTTTCTTACCCCCACCATCTAGAGTGAGAGTTTCCAGACATCTGCTAGCTTCTAGGAATTAATTGACCGGAAAGGACTCTAGTTCTGCGCGATGATAGTAGAAGTTCACCTATATTGTCCGCAGTGCCACAACAAACCCCATAATCCTTCTTGTGTTTCTATGCTTCTTTAACCAGTTCTCATACAAGTCCTAATTATTGATGTAAATATCCTACCATTTAGCTTCCAAATAAACCCTGCAAGAAGCATTAGTACCTATCCTCCAAGCTGTTCTCTATTCCCAAAACCCCTTTTTCGTTTAACTTTTAAATTAAATCAAAATTCAGCCGTAATAGCCAGCCCGTCAACCCATCTTACATGACTGCAGGGGTGGCCAAAATCCGGTTTTCGGAACCAGAACCATCGGTTCGAAACCGGTAAGAACCGGAACCGGTCCGAACTGGAACCGGTCTGAACCGGTTCGGTTCCGGTTCCCACCAGTTTTGGAACTGTAAACCGGCGGTTCCAGCCGCAGTTGGAATCGACGGTTCTAGTTCCATCTGAAACCGGCTGGAACAGTCCAAAACTCGCCGGAGCTGTCGGAAAACCGGCCGGAGAACCAGTCGGAACCGTCGATTTTGGAACCATTGAGGAACGGGAACCGGAACCAGAACCGTTTGGTTCCAAACCGTAACCGAAACCGTTAGTTTTCGGTTCAGTTCCGGTTCCAAATTTTTTAGAACCGGAACCGTTGGTTCCGGAACCGAAACTGGCGGTTCCGGAACCGTGGCCACCCCTACATGACTCTATTAAACTTAATTAAACAATAATTCATTATAATATTACAATGTGTAAAAGAATTAAATAAACTTAATTATTTATATTGTTTTTATTAGTTGGAGATTAGGAATTACTTGTTATATAGATGAGAACTAGATAGAGGAAGCTTGGCTCAAAAGACCTAGTACTTCTTGGCATTAATGCGGAATTAGTTATGGATAGAGTGAAATAAAATAAGTGGTTCATATCAACTAGTTTGGGGTTAAGATTAAGTTTTTTGTTGTAAACTTTCAATTGAGTTTCATGAATAGAACTTTCAACTGAGCTTGAGGGCCAAACAGAAATTTCAGTGGGGTCACCAAAAATATTTAAGGAACAAAATATTAAAAATGAAATTTTGAATCTTGTGGGACTGCTTGCCTAGTTGCTCCATCCTAAATGCCTTGCCTCAGTTATGGCTAAGGGTTTGGTGCTTATACTTCTATGTAAACACTCAACTACGAATAACATCTGCTCCCTAACATATTCACCCTTTTGATAATGGAATTTAACTCACTTATGCTATTCTGTTTCTCTAGGGTGATTTAACAATCACCTGGAAACAATGAACAAAACATGAGAAACGACTCTTTATGTTTTAAAATGTTCATTTAGGTTGTTTAAAAATAATAGGGCAGAAAACATCACACAACACACACGACAAAACAGGTTCTACTGAGTCTCAATAGCGCAACAAACACCCCAATTGCAACTCATGTACATAAACATAAGTTCTGTAATTGAACCTTCAAAATAGGTGTTGAACTCACTCAAAGACAGCAAGTTGGTTCTGGAATATGAACCTTCAAAAGTGCTACACGTTTTTATTGATTTCTTTGGTATGTATAAATAGTATGGCTATAGGATTTTGATTACTGAAGTATATCTCAGCCATTCCTAACCATGCTTATCTCTGCACCTTAACTAAGCATACCCCTGTTGACTAACAAAACTCAATCTAAAGCCCAAACCTGTTCACTTAACCCCATTAACATATTTGTAACATTAGGCTATTTGACAGCCAAAAAAACAAAAGGCTAACTTTCCGTCCATAATCCGGACTAATAGAAGGTATGTTAACAAAAATATCACAACTCAGGCAAGTCCTGAGATTTTTGTTGGAGGATTTCAGCTTGTGCTTTCATAGAATTTTTGCTTGCCTTTCGAGCACTAATTTTCAAATCTTCTGGGATTTACTGTACATCTTGGAAGAACTTGTTTCCAAGCCATCCAAATAGCAAAATTTCTTTTTGGAGAACGTACCTCCAAGCTCCATTCTCTAATTTGTTTACATCTCTTAAAAAGTCTAAAAGACTCCTTGGTAATGATTCTGCTTCTGGATAGCAGTAGTGGCAGGCCTAGCTGTTGCATTTGCTACCCTTGGCAAAAATGCTATTCTTCCTGCCACTCCATCTTCATCAAAAAGTTGTTGCTAACTTTTCTTATCAACTTCAACAACTTCTTTTAGTAGTTTTTGGACATGTATGGTTCCTTTTTCAGCTACTTTTCTACAGTTTATGGACATGCTTTGGTCACTTCAACAAACTTTGCAGTTTTTTAGGATATGCCTAGTTCCTCTTCAACAAGATTTCTGCAGTTTTAGGACATACACAAGTCCCTTAAAAAGTTTCAGCAGTTCCTTTTTTCCCCCCATACAATTTGTCCTCACCATACAATTTGTGCAGTTTTCAAAATTGCTTAGATCTCCGTTAATATGATTTATGCAGTTTTAGGACATGTACAGGTCCCTTCAACACTTTCTGCAGGTTTATAACATGCTTAGGCCCCCTACAGTTTTTGGACATGCTAGCCCCTTCACTTTCAGAAGTCAAAAAACAGATTTTTCACCTTTGAAAATGAGTGGGATCATTAAGAGACAGAAACTCAATGCAGTTTCATTTTTATTACTTTTCGTTTTCAACAATTTTTACAAAATCTGTCTTAAGACAATCACTAACATCTGCAGCAGCAGAACTGGTTTTGTGAACACTTAAAACACAGGCCCCATAAGAAGGAAGCTCTTATGCCATGTTGAAAAATGGTAGGGCAGAAAACACAACAAAACAGGTTTTATAAGTCTCAATAGGGTACAAAACACTCACAAACACGCTTGTATATATAGCACAAATTCTGTAATTGAAACTTCAAAGAGAAGTCTCAAACTCACAGAGACAGCAAGCTGGTTCTAGAATATGAACCTTCAGAAAGTGTAATATTTTCATTGATTTATTTGGTACATATATATAGACATACAGCTATAGGATTTTGAGTACGGAAGTAGATTTCAGCCTTTCCTAACCATGCTTATCTCTGCACCTTAACTAGGTCATACTCAGCTGCCTAAAAAGCTCAATTTAAAGCCCATATACTTGTCTCCTGACCCACCAATGGACTTCCTCTAACAGCAAGCTTTAGGACAGTAAAAACAAAGTTCACTTTCCAACCAAAAACCAAACTAAGTGAAAGAGTATCTGGACAAAAGTCTCAAAATTCCAACATAGGTTATTGTTCTCTTAATAATTATGTAATCAGATGTTTTTCATGTGTGCTAAAAAGGATTCCTCATTAATGGAGCACTTTTGCATCCTTCGCATCCTGTTCCTCTGTTATTGTTGGATCAAATTGTAACATATCTCTATTTAGAATGTTGAGATACTGTTTTAAAAATTGTTGTTTGTTTGGAGTTAAAATGCAATGTTTAGTTTTGGATATCGATTCTGGATGTTTTAATTATATTATTTTTGGGTTTATTTTTATGCATGCAGCTGAAAGAATTTGAAGAAAAAGTTATGACTCTCATCAGAGAAAAAGACGAACTGATCAAGCAGCGAGATTCTGCACATCAGGAGGCACATTTATGGCGTTCTGAGCTTGCAAAAGCTAGAGAGCGTGTTGTGATATTGGAAGGGGCTGTTGTGAGAGCAGAGGAGAAGGTCAGGGTTGGAGAAGCAGATGCTGAAGCTAGAATAAAGGAAGCTTCAGAGAAAGAGGCAGCTGCTGTGAAGGAAAAGCAAGAGCTTCTAGCATATGTGAATATGTTACAGGCACAACTTCAAAGGTTTAACATCTAATCTCTTAAACCAACAGCATTTATTTTGATATTGCACTCCTTATTGAACACCTTTTAGCCTGCTTTGGGGGCATGTGATTCTGCAGTGGTAGATCTTATAATCTAAAGGTGCATTCTTTGTAGGTAGATTTTGTAATCTAAAGAATGATCATAGTAATCAACCATTATGGATTCTGAGAAATGAGAAATTAAAGAAAATTCTGCACCTTTTTCATTGTTTCTATGTTTAATGCACGGAACATAAAGATGTAGTCCAGTATGTTCCTTATCTAAGAAATGGTTTCCATTCTGAATTAACTGGAGGGTGTTACTTTCTGAAAAAAGTAAATGCATCTTTTCAAGTTGATAACTTGTATCACTAGTTATTTGTGCAAAAAATTATTTTCAGAACTCTTCACTATGGTAAGTGAGGCATGGCCACCGGTTCAATTTGAACCGGAACTGGCCTGGAACTGAACTGTAGATGAAACGGTTCAAAGTTTTGAACTAGAAGCGGGGCGGTTCAAGGGCTAATTAAGGTTCATGTGAATGTTAAGATCTGAACCTGAAGCAGCCCGAAACCGGCATTTGTTGTCCGGTTCAAACCGAAAATTTTTTATTTTTATTTTCAAAATTATAATCACTTAGTCTATTCTATACATTACCTAAAGTCTAAATAATCTTTTATTACATGATACACTTGAAATTTTTTTTTTGAAATACAGTATACTTAAAGGGTTAACAATCTAAAAAAGTAAAATAGTAACAAAAAAGTGAAATATTGAGCCTAAAATTATATTGTTTGATACAAATGGGAGTTTAAAATTCCTTTTTCCTTTTAAATTACTTAGTTCAAAATTACATTGTTTGAAGCATTTTTCAAAATTTTCTAATAATTTATTAAATTAGTAACATTTAGACAAAATAAAATGATAATTTATTTAATTATTTTGTAAAATGAATTAATTTTATTTCTTATATGTGAGTATAAGCATTCTAAAAGTTATTTAAAATAAAATTTGCCAATATTTTTTAAATTCATAATTTTTTTGAAAGAAAGATATAACTTCAACCGAATTATTATTATTGTTACTATTTTTTAAAAAATACACATATCACTGAAAATCGTGATCGAAACCATTGTTCATCGAAACTATGCTGGAACCGGTTGGAACCGTAACCGGACCAGAATCGGCGGTTTAAGGGCCAGTTCAGGTTCAACGTCTTAAAAATTTTGAACCGGCCATGCCTATGGTAAGTAGGGAAAACATGTTTGGTGATTCCAAAACCAATTTTTGTTCAATACCTAATTGTTGTCTTGATGTTTTTTTTATTAGCCTGGGCAACTGGTTATGGATGTAGATATATATTAATATATGAATGATGCTTATGTCAGCATTTTTTGAAATTCATTTCAGATTTTGTTTTTTAGGGTGGGAAAGGAAATTGATATTAGTTACTTATTTGCATAGAGGTGGTTTGAAGTTGATGTACCTATATTTTAATGTAAACAGACAACAGATTGATACAAAGCAAGTGTTTGAGAAGACTGATTCCTCAAATGTTGATGAGAGCAATCTTCCCCTGACCAAGCATGTTGACTTGTCTGATGAGAATGTTGATAAAGCTTGTTTAAGCGTTTCTACAGTTTCCCCAATCGATCAAGCAAACCTGCAGGCAATTGGAGATGCTGAATGGAGCGACATTCAGCCAACAGAATCAAGAATAGCTGATGTAAGAGAGATTGCCCCAGAAACTGATGGAAACAGCTTGGATATTCCTGTTGTTAGCACACCTGTAAATAATCACCATGAGCAGCAAGGAAGTAACAATTTTTATCAGCCTTGATGTTTAATGCCTACACATTTTATACAAACTAACAATCTGCACATATATATATGTATTTTAAGGTAAGCTATTAATAGGTTATAAAAAAAAAAGAAAAAGAAAACTGAGTGTATTTCCTTCATTGGCTGCTGATTAGATGTCATTATTGTGATGCCCTTTTCTCTTTGAGTTGAATGTCGTTTTGAGCGCCCACAATAAATTCCCTGATGGTATGTGTAGAGAACATAGTTCAGAATATTCAACTACTGAAATCATAAATTCAAGGATTAACCATTGTTTAGTACATATATGGTTTGGTGAAATTTCTAGGTCAAGATCTTTGTTTTCAGATATTAATTAATAATGTTCAACTAAGATAGCCATGTTAAGGTTTTGATGATATTTTTTTTTATTCAACTGGGGAAAAAGTCAAATAACTATCTTTTATTCTAATTTTACCCGAAGTGAAATAAGCTAAATTTTATCTGATAATTTAATTTAAATATAAAAATGATTTGTTATTTTTAATAATTTTATCTAATTATTTAGTTTTTCTCTTTTGTATTCGAATATTAGTTTTAGTTTGGAGCTACTGCTGTTTATAGTTCCCTATCTCTTAACTTTTACTTTCTCTTTCATTTCACCTTTTGCATTTAATCTTTTTTTTCTTTAATAAACTTATATTTATTTTTACTATAATAAATCTGTCTTTCTTGATTTGTTATGGTTGATTGACTCTACATTGGAGTTTCTTGTTGTCCATTCTTGGTGAGGATAGTCCTTTTTCTTTGTGAAGGTAGTCCTTTCTTTGTGGGAATGCATTATTAAATAAAATTATGATTTTATTTGGTCGGAGATTTTAGATTTTAATTTGTAGGTGTAAGTCTATGGAGCCTAATAGTGCGATCTGTTTGACGGATAGCTGGCGGGAGATTCAATTCATCTATATTCGTCGTATGTTATAAATTATTTAAAAAACAATTCGGTTATAAAATATCTAAAAGAGTTCTTATTTTGAAGTTCAAATTAATTAGCGAACCAATTACTGCTATGAAAATTTATATCAAGATAAATTTCAAGTAAAAGATTTAATATTATATTTTTAAATTTTAATTTTATTATTCAAAAAGATAAGAATATGAATTATCAGCCAACGACTTGATGCGAATCCTAAACAAGAACCTAAAACACAAAAAACCCAAATTTTAAATTATACTCTTCGTTTGAAATTCATCCTTCAAAACCAAGAAACAATTGACCACCACTACACTCTAGAAAAAGAACAGAAAACTAGAATAAAAAAATCAAGATCTAATAGTAACCCAAATGAAGTAAAAGAAATACTGAAAATGAAGCAAATTTGAAGCTGAATTTGGCAGAGTTAAGTTGTACACCAAAAAGCTGGCACAACCAAAAAAAAAAAAAAAAGAAAAAAAAAAAGTTAAAAACAAAGAAACAATTGACCACCACTACACTCTAGAAAAAGAACTAGAAAACTAGAATCAAAAAATAAGAATCTAATAGTAACCAAAATGAAGTAACAAGAAATACTGAAAATGACAGCAAATTTGAAGCCTGAATTTGGCAGAGTTATTTGTACACCAAAAAGCTGCACAAAGCCAAAAAAAAAGTAAAAACAAAGAAAAACAATATAAAGAAAAAAAAAAAAAAAAAGAAAAAAAAATAGAGACCCAAATGAGGACAGGCAACCAGCTCTAACACCTTCCTATGCAAAACTCCAATAAGAGAAGAGACAAAAATATTTACGACCTAACTAAAATACCACTTTCTTGAATCAAATCACAGCTGTAGATTCTAAGGGTAATTTCTGTGGCTTCATGGATCCCATCTTTTGTTGACGGCAAGTTCTATAATTGCTCTTCTGTGAAATAGATGTTATCAATTGTTGTATACATCATTATTAATTGTCTAATCAAGCAAAATAGAAAGAGAGATAATTTAGGATTTGAGATTTCATTGGATAAAATTTAATCAAGGAAGATTGTTATGGTGGTTGGCAGGGAAAAGAGAGTAACCATAATCAGTGCAGGTGCTCTGTCTTATGACATCGGTGGTAGAGCACGTCGTTCTTGACGGCAGAGAGAAGGAAAAAGAAACTGTTTGAATGGGAGTGAGGAGTGAAGACTGTAGATCGAAAGGAAAAGATAAAAGAGACAGTTCAATTATTGGTCGTCTCATGCGTCTTTAACTCTGATAAGGGCCTCAATGGTATTTCAAAATATCTCTCACACCTTTTTCTCTTGATTTCTATCCAATTTTAACTGTAAAAACAAAAAATGGTCGGAGCGACTGTTTAACGAGACGGGAGCAAATCTCATGAGGTTTTAAATATCTATCCTCTATATACGGGAATAAGCGGTAATAACGAGGTCTTCAATAAAATTTAAATATCTTAAAATAATCTTAATTATAGTTAATTTAAAAATTGTATTTCATATTAATTGAGAGTTTAGATGAGTGGTTTGACATTCTTCTCCCTTAAGTGAAGTTAAGGAGTCGATCATCTTAGATAAAGTAAATACTCACTGTGAGCACTTTTTTCCTTTTTGGACTGACCCGATGCAGTTAGGATTTAATTCCAACCTAGTGGGCTCGGGATACTTGTGGTTAAAACAAAAAAAAAAAAGAAAAATTAAATTTAATTATTTGATTGGATATAATTTCTAAAAATTATTTTTTAAATAAATAAATATATATAATAAAAAAAGAAAAAAAAATTACATTTCTTTTTTTTCATGGTTGCAGGAAAAATTGTGAATTTATTTAGAGATGATATAACGTTTTTTATGTAATCTTTTTTTATTACTTAATTAACTTATTTATTTATTTTAAATTTGTAACTTAGATAATAGATGAATAAAATACTTGAACAAATTCATTAACCACTATCAATATTGGATATTAGAATGATTTGCTTTGTAATTTTTAATTATTGACTTGACTTTTTTTTTCATCAAAATCAAATTTAATTAAATTATAGCATTGTTCGGGTTGTTCTTAAAATTCAAATTGGTAATTTTTTAATATAATTTATTCTTGTTATATGTTGAGTTCTTAAAAGAGTTTTGTTCTTAATAAAAGTTTCTTATTTGTTATTTTCTTTTTCGTTATTAAATTAATTTATAACCACTATCACTTTAATTTAGTAAGAGATTTATATCTCTTTTATAATAAATATATGACCTCCTGATTAAATATTTTTAATTCTCTTGATATTTTTTTATGTCCTAAATATGTTTGACTTGAAAGAAAATACTTTTTCTGAAATTGAAAAAAACTGTAACTGCAACTGTATATATATTTCTGTTTTGGGTCATTTTTGGGTTTCAAGAGTTTGTGTGTATATTTATATGTTCATTTCTCTAATGCACTGACTAAGTAATGCTATCACTATAGCCAAAATGATTATCATTATTAATTCAGGTCATCTTCTCGTTTCTTTACTTTTACCTACCAGTAAAAAATAAGTTATGATTATTTTTCATTATAACTGTATATAGATATTGATTTGGGATTGACGGCAATGATTGGAGATTGAGTGATAACTTGATTTTCTTTTGGAGTACCTATCAGGATTTAAGAATCTGCATTTATAAATTAAGGACGGAAGGATTAGGTATAGATAGGGATTGCGTTAATTTTTATTTTGAGATCACTTCATTATATAAAAATAGAATCAAGTACACAAAGAAATGACATTGCAAGCACCTTATACGGCAATGTTTAATACAAATTAACCAATTATATTTAATTTAATCTAAATAAGAACTTATGCTTTCATAATATATAGATAAAAAATTAAAAGAGTAAAAAAAATGAAAATATAACAAGCATTGTCAACGTGCAACGCACGTCATAAAAAGACTAGTTCATATAAAAGTCAAAAACTACTTAGATAATTACGACAAACATAAGGAACAAAATAATTATTTTACCTAATAACAAAATCCAACAAAATCAAGTCATTAACCATTCACATAAAGGGAGAGAAAAACCAAAAGTTAAAAACTTTGGTATCGTTTGTTATAGTGTTTGTTTTTAATTTTTCATTTATTAGAAACATGAACCTGTTTTTAGTTTTTGGTTACTTATCTTTTTAAATTTATTTTTAAAATTATTTTTTCTTTTTTTTTATTCATGATATAAAAAATTCTACCAATTATCAAATCTTTGCTCCGTTAAAAATTTTAGTTAATAATGAAAATTCTAAAAATCCAAAATTTGAGACAAAATAATTAAAAATATTTCACAATTTAGTTTTTAAATTCAAAAGTTACAATAACTATTGACTATTATGTATATAATCAATTGAATAAAATTATTTGCTTGTATATTTTGCATAAATAAATGACATTAGATTTATATAGATAGAGAAAATAATAATAATAATAATAGTAGTAGTAGTAGTAAATTCCACAATTAAGTTTTTAAATTTCAAATTTACAATAGACTATTGGACTATTATTGTAGAGTAAGTCAAATTGAAATAATTATTTGCTTGTATATTTTGCATAAATAATGAGACATTAAATTTATATAGATATAGAAAAATAAATAATAATAATAATAGTTAAGTAGTATTGTAAAAATAATAATAATAATAATAATTAATAATAATAATAATAAGATAAATCTTATAAAACAATAATAAACACAGAAATGTAAATTAAATAATAATAATAATAATAATAATAAGGATAAATCTTATAAAAAATAATAAACACAGAAATGTAGAATTAAAAATAGAAAACACAAATACATAAACCACTATTTGTGGTTTCATAAAATTTGTTTTTTGTTTAAAACAGTTTTCTAAAAGGGAAAGAAAAAAAAAAATAAACAAGTTTTGTTTATTTTTTAAGAAAAAGAAAACAAAAAACTTAATGAAAACAAACAACTAATTAATACTTCTTCTTCTGTCTCCCCACTCTCCGATCACATTCCCTTTTCACCATCACTAGTCGCATTTCTGACCATTATTCGGCAAGAGTAAGGCCAGTAAATACTCTTCACTGGTCGCATTTATCGAGTTAGCTTATGTACAAATGTCAAGGGAGTTAAGATTGGGTTAAATTATGGAATTCCTTTATTTATTTATTTATCTAGTTATATATGTGATTTTAGTAATTATTGGATTTATGTAAAGAATAATAAGTTGTTAATTGAAA